CCACAAAGCAAGAGGAATATAAAGGGCAACTGCATCATTTCCTTTTTCTCTTCACTCCTGGTTATCTCTGGAGTGACTTTTTTAAAAGCTGAATCTCTGAAAAAAGAATTAATGTGCCATCCAAGCTGTGGATGTGCTCCAAAGGGCCTTTCAAGCCCCAAACTCTCCTGCTTTGACCCTGATGTATGGACTTTGAAGTCTTTGCATGAATGTTGCTGCTCCATCATTTAATACTCTTCTTGTTCTTTCTTTTTTCTTTATATAAACTTTTAGCTTTAGACACTACAGGATTGGCTGGCAGCATGGTATTTTAGGTATTTCAGACCCAACCAAATATTGACCAGACAATGTGGCTGGCCCTTTTGGGTTCAGATGTATATTTTGTATAGAGAGCAGAGTTATTTAAAAAACTTCTCACTGTACTCGACCTAAATGCTGATTGGGAGACAAAGAACGGGAATGCATGAAATGGGGCAATGTGATTTCTTTTTTGGCTTCTTGATAACCAGTCTGGGGAATCAGAAGCACAGCTGGTGACTGGTTGGGAAGTTTTCAGTGTTACTTATCAATCATGGGAGAATTTTCTCTGCCTTTTGCAGCTTGCCCTAGCTTTTTTTCAGCAAGGGTTACCTCAGGCACACTAGGTTACAATAATTAGAGAAGAAAAAATTGTTAGGGGCGTCTGATCTCATTGCGTTGCTTATTTTGGCTTTAGCCCAGCTGTGTAGACGGGCCCATTATCAGGAAGTGTATCAGAAGCTATCCTTCGTAGGCCAGATCTACACTAGACCTGAAAGGTCGGGTTACGGTACCCAACTCCATTTCTGTGAACTATGTAGCTGGTGTGAATATGCCGTAAGCCGAGCTTGGCGACATCTTCCCAGAGTGAGGCCGATGGGAGCATACGCTCCTGTTAGCTTCCCTTACTTCCCGCGAATCAAGGAGTAGGCACTCAATTTAGCAGGTCTTAAATAGACCAGCTCAGTTGAAGGCTGGAAGACTGATCTCCAGCACTGGCAAGGGAAGAGGTGGCCTTGATTTTGTCTCCTCTCTTTCCGTTATTTCCTTACACACCGCACTGAACAATTCCCCTTTGGTGCTGTCAGCTCCCATCTAGTCCTGGTCGCCCTGTGGTCCCTGTCCAGCTACTCCCAACACTTGCTGCACAGTGACGTCACAGGGAGTCCCTGGTGACGTCACACACGAGGCCGCATGCCTCGGGTGTGATGTGGTAAGCAGTACCGCTCCTCCCTCTGGTGTGACGTCACCCACTTGCGCACGGTAAGGGCAGGTCCTGGCAGCAAGGGACACACAAGGCGGGGCGAGCAGGTCACGGCCCCGCCCCCACCACCAGCTCTGGAGGGCGCGCCCTCTTCGTTACCCTAGTAACCGTCTCCACGCGCCGCCTGGCTTCCCAGAATGCACCAGGGCGGCTTTCCGCAAGGCTTCCGGCCGGCAGGGGGCAGTGCCGCCGCCATCTTGTGCTCGGGGGGCGAGTGGGGCC